TCAACAGCCATATGCAAATTCTCTGGAATAATGAAATTGCAGAAAAAATCTTCCCCTTTAAGCATAATTCAGGCATTTTAAGCATGTGAGGTACATCCAACTTAATTTCTGACCAGTGCTTGACTACTTGTGATTTGCTGGCAATGGAGCATATATTAGCATCACATTCTGACAAATGATGATCTCTTGATGATGACATTCAGCTGTTGTCAACATCGTAAACATGTCTGTTCAATCTGTTTACATTCCCCCTGAGCTGGCATCACTTTCCTAATGCCTGTGTTAATAGCAAGGTAGAACTGCAATAACAAATGAATTTCATTTAGTCTACCGCTAAAGCCTTGGGAAGTACCCATCCAAGGCTTGAAATCAATTTCCATTTAGCTTCAATTTCTCTTTTAAGAGAAGGAATTTCTGCTACTGAAATTACTTTGAAAGTCATGACATATTCCAGTTCCTTTTCCTAGTCATTTTTGGCTTGATTTCCCATTATAATTAGAATTTAATTATTCTTAATCTCCTCATATAAAGATAAAGGAGTTTCTGTTCTATGACAATTTCACATTTATTAAAAACAAATATAATGAGAGTAGGGCTGCCAGATTCAGCAAATAAAAACACAGGATGCCTATTTAATTTTAACTTCTGATAAATAACAAACAATGTCTTAGTATATGCATTTCCTAAAGATTGCATGGGATATACTCATACTAAAATATTATTCATTGTTTATCTGAAATTCAATTTAATTGGGCTATATTTTATTTGGGAACCCTAAATTAGAGTGTTTTAACAACTTATATCTATAAACCTATAATTCAGAAGAAGGCTGAAATTCATGACCAAGGTTCATCAGAAATATTTTCCAATAGGTGGCCTCTTAGTTTACAGAGGTTTCTTGTTGTCACTGTTTTGGAGGGATGGGGGGATAAGGAGAAGTTGGTTATAAAGATCTATTCTGAGGGAGCCTCTGTCACTTTTTCTTGACCAGTCTGATGAATAATGGCATTTTTACTTTTGTTTGAATAGCACAACAGCCCAGCTGCCAGCTCTTTTTTTAATAATCATTCAAGAGATATGGCAGCTCTCAGAGATACCAATTATCTTTTAAAAAAAAAATAATAGCTTTCTCAAACTAATCTGGTTTACAAGTCTTCAAAGTGAAATAAGACTTCGAATACAGGGAAACAGACAAGTTAGATAAATGCATTCTGCTTGTTTAAATATTTACATACAAAATAAATGTAAGAAACTTCCTAATATATTTTTTTAATTAGGATAAAAAGCTAAAGATCACAAAAGACAAAAAATGTAAAGCAACTGTGAGAATTGCTTTACAAATATTTGTGATAAAGATCTAATATCATGTCACATCCTACATTAATTTACCCCCCAAATGCTATTTCCTCTGAATCCAAATCTAATATCCAGGTTCCTCCATTAAATTCTTACTCTTGTCACTGACTTCCAGGTATCACCCTCAATCTGATGTGCTGGCTACTCCTACTCTCACTTTTCTAATTTTTTTGTCCATTACTCAATTTAAAAAAACATTCATTAAAGCAATGAACAAGGTGAATGGTTCATATTAATAAGATGTTTATAGTCTAGTAGTTTGTGCTGATTATTAAAAAAAAGGAAATTTATAATAAGGGCAGTACTCACTGGACTCACTGGACTTCAAAGGTTGAAGAGAGTCTATTAGAGTAATCGGCAAAGGCCCTGTGAGAATCGGCTTGGCAATCAGAAACGCTGAGGTCTGAATCCAAGCTCTATTCACTTATTGCTGAGTGACTTTGGGCATATTACTGACCTTTCTGAATCTCACTTAATAATTACCTATCTCAGATGATTGTTGTCAGGTTTAAAATGAACAATCATACATAGAATGTTCTATACAATGCAAGACACATTTGTAAGTACTTAGGAAAAGTCTGTAATTATAGAGTAAAATAGCCAAATTGTTACAAATATGTTGTTGGAACTAGACTGCCATGGTCTGAATACCAGATCCTCCCTTTACTAGCTATGCAGACTTAGGCAAGCCAGCTAACCTCTCTGTGCCGCATTTCTTCATGTATACTAAGTGAATAATAGCACCGATCTCAGCAGAATTGTGGAGAGGATAAAATTAACTAATTTATATAAAACTCTTCATGTAAAACAATTCATGTAAAACTGTATGGCATCTGGCACTGTAAGCACTTGAGAAATGTTAACTATGTTAATTACCATCATCATCATTGCCATTATTATTAATTCAAGAGGTAGCATTTTAGATATGTCTTAATGGGCTGGTAATATTTTAACAGAAGTACTGAGAAGAAATTCCCATCTAAAAAGACATCCAGAATAAAAGCAGGGAAAGACAAAGCAAGAAAAGTTTGTTCAGGGATCAGAAAATACAGTTGGACTAGACAAGGGCTTAATGCAAGTTTGAGGTTCCTATAAACACTTCATTACCCAACAGAGAGTCTCTCAAATTCTTGGATCAGAGGACTAATGTGATCGCAGTTGCATTAGATTAACCTGGAAGCACTGGTGTGGAATAGATTAGAAGGAGACAACCGAGGCAGGAAAGTTAGTTATGGGGCTCTGTACCTTCGAGCAAGAAGTTAGGAAAGGCTGAACTTGGGCTTACTAAATGAAAATAGAAAAGAAGGGATAATTTCCCAAGACTAAAGAATCAGAACTGACAGGACTTGGCAGCTTTTTAGAGGAGTGGGCTTTTGGAAGCCAAAGAAGAAACTGCCTGAGAAGCAGACCACAGCAGATTGGCTGTGAGTGATGGATAAGTGGGGGGTGAGACCACAGATCATTTTATAGCAAGGGAGAAGCTGTGGTGGGTCTATACAGAGTAAGGATCTAGAAACCTGCCAGGAGAAAAGAGGCAGCCCAGTGGCAATGAAGAATGAACTGTTAAAGGCAGTCAAAAGGAAGCAGCAACCAGGATGTAGACAGCAGCCATGGACACACAGAACAGCAATGCACAAAATGCTGCTTCATAAAAAGAGTACATCTAACAAGCAAAGCGGAGATGGACAAAGGCAGTGTCAATCTATGCTCCTCCCACCGACCCCTTGGAACTAAGTGTGGAGCTATTCCTCTCTGACCTCTGAGCACCTGGTGTAAACCTATTAGAAAGGAGTCTTACCAAAGAGTAGTGGAATTGTCTGTCTATCACACACAAGGGTAGTATATAAGTGCTCAGTAAGTGTTTGAAGAATGAATGAATGGATAAGTTAGTGGCCCTGAGAACCTTAGTCTCCCATACCACTTTTGCATTATAAGGCTCTTTCCATAATCACAAACTAGACTCTCATTCACAAGTCTATGATTTGTCCTACTTCAAGTAAGCAGGACAAATTATGTTTTTTTCCAACTTGTTCTACTAACATTTAAGCAGCCAAGTGGAATGCATGAATGGTTTTCAAAATGTGTTCCCAAAAGCTTTTGTGGTTCCATGAAGTACCTGACCCCATCCAACACACCCCACTGCACAGGGCACATCCAGAATAAAAGTTGGGAGGAGGAGGGAAAGCAGCAGTCATACTTAAATTGGTTATATAAGTCAGACATCATCTTAAGACTGTGGTTTGAAAAAAGAATTCGAAGACTTTTTATTTCAAGTTTAAAATACATTATATATCTTTTGAGGTATAGAAGGTTTGTATAAAGTAAGTCCTTTAGTTTATGTTTAAATTATTGCCCAAATATCATAAATTGCAAAATCAGATTCCAAACTTCCCACCACTCTACTTTTCACCATATACCCCATGCGGAGAGAAGGAAGGCAGTAGGTACATTTCCCCTTCTCTAAGTATGGTTTATTTTCTACAGTACTTTGTGTTTTGCAATCACTGACCTGAAGAGTTATCCTCCAAGAAGCCAAATAATACATTAACACAGGTTGTCCCTGTGAAATCCAAAGCTTTCGTTCAGCCTGACACTAAGATTCTGCTTTAATTGGCTTGGCACAGGAGCCGGGCAAGCACGAGTGCATGGGAGCTGGCTCCTCAGAGCCAATTTGTGCTCATTTGTCCCCAACTCCACATTCAGTGACTTCATGTTGGTAACTGGAAATCAACCATGCTGGGAGAATGTACCCCGTGGAAATCCTCAAATGCTAAACATCAAGGCTTTTGTCTGCCCAGAGATCTAGTTTACCAGCACACCACTCAAAGGTTTTTAAGTTCCCTTCATGAAATTAATGCACAGCCAGGGTTGAGCCCTACTACAAAGAAAGGCATATACTCAGTGAATTAATTTTTCAGACTTACATATCTGCAATTGTGTTAGCAATCTCACTACCGGATGCCACGAGTACACAGTATTTTATATTCTCAGTGTTCTAAAAATCCATATATAAATGGCATTTTAATTGATTCAGATTTTTAATGTTAAAAAAAGAGTTTGCTAATTTTTGAACTAAAAGACTGATCATAGAATTTGAATGATGAAACGAATTTAAGAAGTAATCTAGATCTAACTCTTTTCGAGTTTAAAAACAACAACTAGGATTATAGAAACTGAGACCTGCTTATGTCCACTACGCTATGTAAAGGCAGTGCCAAGATTACAACCTTTCGTCTGCTATCTCACCTCCTGAGTTTCTACATGGTTTTCTATGGAGGGGTTTGTTTTTAAAAAGGAAGAAAGAAAAAAGAAACAGCTCCATTGGGACTTCTCAGCTCTGGTCACAAGGGGCCTTTTAGAGTGGTAATAAGGTCAATGACACTAGAAAGAACTCATACTTTCAAATGAAAATGTCAACATACAGCCAGAGTGAAATAATTCAGTACTGTATATATTTCCATACCTCATTGGTATGAGTACAGCAAACACTTGTATTGAAATCATCTCTCACAGAAAGAAACTTCCCTTCTCACGGGATGTTGTTACTGCTATCACTGTTCCCTAATCTTGCGGACTGATGGAAAAATAATACATTTCCGAATGGTCTTTTTAACTACAATAAAGAGAAGATATAAACACCGTACCCAGGCAAGAAGCAACAGATTTCTTTTCACCGTTCCACAATATCCTAACATTCCCACAATGATAAGGAAACAGCAAACAGCAATCATGACCGGATGAACCACAGGAAAGTAAGTCAAGATGACTGCCTCCTCCACCCTGAAAAAAGAAAAATAAAGTCATATTAGAGATAAAATATGATCAAAATGCACCCAAGACATAGCACAAGAAACAACTGTGATTTATGTTAATAATTCTTTAAATTATAATGCCTTCAAAACTAGGAACCATATTGCTATTTTCAAAATCACTGTGCTATTGTTTTTATGTTTATTTGCTTGCTTTATTTTTGGTTTTGATCTGTTTAGGGTTTTTTGGTGTTTTTTTTTTGGTACAAGTAGTAGCATTCCTACCCCAATTCATTTAAAATATAATATAGGTGACCTCAGTAAAAAGTCAATCTATTATTAGCTCTAAAACCTTAGCCTAAATAAATCACACGGGTGATTTCTTTGCTATTTCCCAGCTGGGAGGAATCTCTTTCCTCTTCTGTGACCTTTGACTCCCTGTGTAGCACTTTCCTGCTTCCCAACAACTGATCCTCAGAATGTAAATGACTGCTATGCAAAGGAAAATCAATCTACATTTAAAGAAAGAAGGAAGTAGGGCTGATTTTTGCTAGAACACTAAGAAAAATTCATTAACCAGGACCAGTAATAATAATGATAATAAAAATGAACCATTACTAAGCGCCCCTGTGTTAAGGACTTTACAAAAATGTATCTCATTTAATCCTTACCACAATTCAGAGGGCATGTATTACAATCTCCATTCAAAGATGGAGAGTTAAAAGTAATTATCCCTCATGATATTAGAGGATCAATCCTTGAAATTTAAGACGAAAATGGCATTGTGGGGTTTGGTTTTTATTATTAGCCCAGGAATATGAAGGTAAGAAGCTCATGGTGATTTTTTTAGGGCAAAGTATTAAAAACAAGCTGTCCTTTATACACAGATATGATATGGCTGATACACTGTTAGGAGGGAAGGTACCTGGTTATCACCATACCCCAAAATGTCTATATAAACAAATTGCCACCTGATCCCCTCTAGGACCAGTGGCATACCTTAACAAGAATGCTAGAAAATGCAAGTGTCTGCAACAAAAGTTACTATGGCAGCAAACGGGTTTTCTAAAAGACTGTGGAAGAGCACTACCACATAAACAGCTAAGGTAAAGTTACTAAAAACCAGCACCTGAGAAAATCTGATGAAAGAATTCCTTACCTTGTTTCTGCAGTTAAAGTCAGAACATTATTTAGGTAGTCCCTCATCCAAGCAGAAACTGCCAACACACTGATGGACATTAACTAGGGACAAACAAAAAACACATACTGGTTACAATGATTTATGCAACATTCACTGAAGGATTGACTTAAAATTCAGATTTTAATTTTTAAAATTAGCCTGACAACCTGACTGATCCAGGTTCAGGATAGAAAATTGCACGAGATGAGGAGGCCGCAGAACAACTAAATTATCAAACATATAAGCTCAGCCTAAAACATGTTGCCATACTTAAGAGCAAGGAAGCAATTAAAAACTACTGGAGCAATAAAACACTGTCAAAAAGTCACAGGTGCTAACTTAGAATGGCTTTGATCGGCTAAAATTCAAACAATTTGAGCATTAAAATAAAGATAATATAACAAATGCAATTGTATGAAATATACCAAATGTGTTAAAAATCTATAAACTCATAATACTTAAACGAAGCTCACTGGCCACCTTTGTAGACTGTTGAACACTCATTATTCAGAAAACTAATAAGAATGCACTATTTATATCTATCCTATGTTTTCTATACAAGTAAAGGGAGAGCCAAAGCTTAATGAAAGTTTTTTTAGAAGAATTTCTGCTGATATGTGCAGAAAGCATGCTGGAGGATCACCATTTAACCACCTCTACTGAATAATGGATCTCCAGGAAAAGATCTTCAGTGGATGCCAAATTTTTCAGGTCAGTGGTTCTCAATCCTGTCTGTACATTAGAATTACCTAAAACTCAAAACATTACAGAGCCCAGGTCTACCTTAGACCAATTCTTGGGAATGGGGCTTGGGCATCAGGAATATGTAGCAGCTCCACAGATGTTTTAACATCCAAGCAGGGTTGAGAACCTCTGCATCACCCAAAAAGCTGATTGGGGACTTTTAGGATGGAGAGAACAGGCTAACGAAAGGACAACCCACTGATCAATCTCAGTATCACAAAAAGACTTAGCCAGACATAATGTGTCCCCAACATGATGCAATCAGAAGTAGTACACAGAAAATCCTATGACATATTTTTATCAAGAGTCAAACTTGAACCTAAGCAAGCCTCCAGCACTATCAGTTTGTAGAAAATAAATGGGATAGATTTAACACATTGACTGCCACACTAGGAAAAAAAAAATCCCTTGGGGCTATGGTGTTTTATTACAAAAATAGAATAAAAACTTCATAAACAAAACGATCCTTTCTAATTTAATGAAAAAGTTATTTTTTATTGTTTTCTGTTATTTTTTATTGTTTTCTGTGGTAACACACAACTTGAAAAATAGTCCACGGAGCTCTCAAAGTGAAGAGACATGTGAGTTACATATGCTTTACCGAGGCTCCAGGCTCAAAACTAGCGTGAGTTAATACAACTCACAAGGCGGTATTATTAAACTTGTTAAATGCCACCATGGGAATGCAATCTCCAAAATCAAGAAAATGAGAAATTTTATAGGACAAATGACCTTTTTTCTCCAATTAAAAACACTGGCAAGTAGGAAAAAAAAAAAAAGAGAGGAGGAGAAACTGTTATAGATTACAGAAGATTAAGAGATTGCCCAGTACAATATATTGACCTGGTTTAGATCCTGATTCAAACAAAACAACTGCAAAGAAACATTTATGAGACAACTGAGGAAATTTTAACACTGATTGAATGTTTAAAAACATTAAGAAATTATTTTTATTATGTTAGGTATGATGGATTAGGTTTATTTTTGAAAGGGTCCTTATGTTCTAGATATACATACTGAAGTAATTGTAAATGAAATATAATGATGATTGAGATATGGTTTAATAAATAATCTTAAGCAGTGGGGGGTCAGGTGAGAAGTGGAAGCAGGTATGTTGGTAATTACTGAAACTGGGTAATGAGTAATTGAGGATAGATTATACTGTGCTTTCTATTTTGGTATATGTTTTAAGTTTTTCATATTTCAAAAATTAAAAAAAAAGCTAAAACATGCCGAGAATGAGTTTCTCTGGGAAGCTATTCTAAAAGCTACATATTAACCCCTAAGTTCTGGAGGACTTTCCTAGTTCAATGGTAATCTTTTCAAATTGTCCTTATACTAGATCTTCTTAAGCACAAGATAGTGAAATCCAACTTAATCTGATTTTTAACAACTTCTAGCATCTTAAGGTGCATTGTGTGCTACAGCTTTAGCTTTAAATGCTGATATAATGAACATATAAGATAGGAATGAGTCTGTGCTGACTCAAGCAGTGGCCAATAAACATGTTTTCTGGACAAAGGCTCCAAGGCAAGCAGAACATGTAAGGCTCCACAGCCTCTTGAACAGTGAAGTGCGGTTATCAACTTGGAAAATCAGCTAGCGAGTTCACTCTCCCATCAGGCATTACAAATATTTGCTCAACACCTACTTGCTTAGTCCTACGTGCCTTGGACTAAACAACAATCAGAAACTCACAATAAATAAGAGAAACAACATCCTGGCCTTCCTGGAGCCTCTTGGGAAGCACAGGCAATAAGTATACAAAGGAGACAATTATAGATTGTAAAAAGTGCCATGAAGCACAGAAAAGTGAAGTAACCTATTAAAGGTTTCACACACCCCAAGTGGCAGAGCTGGGACTCAAATCCAGGCCTTTGGGCTTTGGGGCTCCAGGCTTAGGCATTAATTGTTTCCAAAGTTTAGAAATGAGCAAAGGAGGGCAGTGGGTAGTCTCTAGCAGTCAGGCTCAGTCTAAATGTCAGAGCTATATTCTTTGGTGAATAGGGGCTCAGTGGTTCTTAATTTGTAAATACAACTGTATTTCAGCATAGTTAATTTTCTTTGTACATGGATACATTTTATTTCCCTCATTAAAATACACTTATTCTGAGAATGGGCCCACAAGTTTTAGAAGACTGCCATAGGAGTCAATGGCCTAAGACAGGTTAAGAACCCTGAGACCGCAGTTCAGAGGAGAATTAGGCTAGTTATTATTACTTTCATTTCTGTTGGAAATGAACAGATTGTAAACCTCATAAAAGTTAGTGAGTAGGTCAGCCACAGTGTATTAGTCCTGTTTTTAGCTTCTGTCAACCTGATGCTTTAACATCTGTTCTGCACACATATGCCGGACACATGTTGCCCAGGAGAACCTGATGATATGTCTGCGTCACGTTGCCTCGACTCTGCCTCCCTCTGTGCCCACTCCCTCCTCAAAAGGACACAGCTTCCAGGAATGCACTTGTCAAATATTAATCAACCAATCCAGAGTCGACACCCCCATGTACCTCCCTTATCAGGCTCTCACACTCAGGGCCACTATACACCTGCCACTAATCACCCCACTCCCAATTACTCAAACTGACTAATCCTAAGCCTGCTGACATGGCCTCACTGATTCCTTCTCACAGAAAGCACAATAAAAGAATTGTCTACAGTTTCCATCTCTCCCTCTGCCTGGTGACCAACACTGGTGCTTCCCCTCTTGGTCCCCCATAGTGAGACATGTACCCCCTCTCTTGGAATCTGTGAGTACAATAAACTGTCTTTTCAAAAACCATCTCCTGATTTTATGCCTTAGCAGATCTAATTAATAGCAGAGCCTATTAAAACACACAGCAGACCATAGGCTCCTTGACTGAATCCGTGGCTATGTGTTCTCCCTCTACTTGGCTATATGTGTGTCTTTAAATACCTTGTAAGTCTTACTGGGACAGAAAAGTCTATTAATATGATATTTCATTATCTCAAATTATTTTGCAGTTATAAGTAACTCTCTTCTCTCTTTAACACTCCTCCAAGTAATGACTGCTACTGGTTTCTCCATCCTCTAATTTCCTAAACCACGGTCACTTGCTCTTTGCCAGGGACTGTGCTATGTGCTAGACATGTGATGATGAGCAGTAACTGACACTGTCTCTAGGGTGCAATTAACTAAGAGAAGAGGACACACATGTTAATCAACTCATCAGAGATGTAGACACGTAACTGTAAACTGTAACAAGTGCTGGGAAGAAATAGCACAGTGGCTGTGAGAATTCCTTTTGGAGTGCTGACCTATTCCACAGGGTCAAAAGAACTTCTCTAAGATAGCTAAGATCTGAATGATAATTACCAAATTAATTAGGAAATGAAGGGTTGAGAAGAACATTATGCTCAGAAAGAAGAGTAAAGGCCCCAGTGGGGAAGGAAGCATGATATGTTCAAGGGAAATTAGCAGATGGTGAGAATGGAAAAGCAGGCAGGGGTCAGAGCACATGGAATCTTCGAAGCCATTTTGAGGTGTTTGGTCTTGACCATAATGACAGTGGGAAGCCACTGAATTCTGAATTCCAGTTAGGAATTCCAGCTTTCTCACGTTTTAGCTATATGACCTTGGGTATGCCATTTAGTGTTTTCTAAGTCCCAGTTTTCTCACTTATAAGATGTTATAAAAATAAGTCCCACTTCATAGAGGATCTACATGACGAAAACACCGAGTAAGACTCACATACGTTACCTATTATTATTTCAAGTCACTGTTGACCTAAGGGCATTTTCTTAATCTCTCTCAGTCAGTTTAAAAGATTACGCTACTCTTCAATCAGTTCAGAAATGGAATCTTCAGACATTTCAAAGTCTACCAAATGAACAAGGAGGTAAGATCTGGGATAAGGCACCAACTGAACTACTGTGGCCATTCTCAATTTTGACATCTCTGAAACCGAACTCACCTCCATTCCTCTCAAAACCTGCATGTCCTTCTCACTGATTCTCTTACCTCAGTAAATATTATAATCAATCCTTCAATCACATAAACTGGCAACTTGGCAGGCAGCCTGAACCTCTCCCTCTTCCTCAGCCCCACAAATAATTAGTCTGAAGTCCTTCAGAGTGTTCCCGCAAGGCGTCTGGTGAATTCCTCCCCTTTCCTGCCGCTTCTGGCTAATTCAGGCCCTCATCCTCTCTAAGCAGGCAATTATAATTCCTTTAGGATGGATGGCACTCTCCAGCTCACAGGTCCACCTCTAGCTTACCCCTGGTTTCCTGCTTATAGCTGCCCTTTATGGCTCCCCCCACACCGCCCGACTCCCTTCTCCTAACCTCTTGAACAGGG